CATTTAAATGTCCCGTGTCAATGTGACCATACTAATGCACAGAATAATGTTTTTTATTTTGTACTTTTTGTTAATAAAAATTTCACTATCATGTGGAGAAGATTTTTCTGATTAAAATGAAGCTAAACACAGTATAAATCGGTCAACATTTAATAGCATAATATTGGGTTAAATGTTGTGCTTGTGAGTCTTTCTCTCTTTGTTTATCCTTCTTGCGCTATCCTTTTCTATGTTCGGAAACATCAAAGAACGACGGATTCGTGGTGCTGGTAGGGGTAGAATGAATGAAATAATACACATAACGTAAGTACGCGACCATAAGACTTATAGGAATGAAAATTACCTGACATAATAATTTCAAGAAGGGAATAAGAAATAAAGAAATGAATAATGAATTTTAATATAATTCTGTCACACTTAGACTAGGACACCCTGTATATGCAGGTACAATTATATTAAAATTCATTATTATATTTCAAATGAAAAAGGTTTCAATAACACGTGGCTGGTGTTACGACGAGCCGCCTAAACGTACGTTAATCGAATTCTTCCCACGATCGGACAAACATCGTGTTACGGCCACCCGCCTAAACGATCGATATTCGAACAATTGAACTCCTCACGACCGGACACCTATACATCATATTACGACCACCTACTTAAGTATTCGATAAGACGCGTTCTCACGGACATCCCACCTTGTCAATCATCGGCCCCTTCTCCACCACCAACGACATTATAAAAGACCTTACCGGACATAAGCAGAGTCAGTCGGGATCATCTTATAAAAATAAAGTGCTAAACCTTTAAAAGTGCTATTCATTCAAAAACCTGTGAACTTTCTATGTGACAGTGGAGTGGCTGTCATGGGAATCGACGATGTAGACGGCGCGGAGAAAGAAGAGGCGTTGTTTATATTTATTGATTATATTTCAATCGATAAATATTGTATATTATAGATCAATTTACATGTCTTTATTTTTCATTCCTTTCCTGAAATTATTAATGCCATATAGTTTTTATTCCTATAAGTCTTATAGTCGCGTACGTTATGTGTATTACAGAGTCTCATCGAATCTGTCGTAGCGTGTGACTATATTTACGCCGATCGGCCCTACGTTGATTCATTCATGATACTCCTTCTCTTTCTCTCGCGCTGTCCTTTTCTATGTTCGCCAGGAATCAAAATCTTGCTCGGCTCGAGCAAATTCATTTTGCTAGATGGTCACAGATGCGGCAACACCGCGATAGAACTCTCAAATGATGTGATTTGGCAACTATGCCACCTCACTTTCGTTTCTTATTCTGCATAATGACGTTAGATGTCACACCGTCAAATGTCGAATTTCTCAATTATGTGTTTTCACGATTGCCCGATTCTTTCCAATGGCGCTTACATCGATTCGGAGGAGGCCTCGAAGGAGTCTGTGCCCTTAACAAAACCTTACTCCGAAATATAGGTCGATAATTGTCGCGTCGATAAAACTACCGCGTCGATAAAAGATCGACACAGAGCGCAGAATAGAGAGAGATAACAACTATGCGTAGACAGAGATAGCGATACGCGCGGAGTCACGTACACGCGGGTCAAATTCCAAACACTTCCGGCATCAAAAGTACGTGTAGAAAAAACTGCTACGTCAGCAGATTTCTGGTATAAATACGAGCGTGCCGCGCGGAGCTGTTTACTTCGATTCTGATCGTAGTCCGACACGGGTCTATGGTACGATTATTACTTAGAATTCAGTAGCATAGATTCTTTTGTCGGTAAGGCGGCAAAGGTTCCGTGTCGGACCCGAAGCGCTCGACTACAGGTTCGCAGCGGTTCTCATACGTATCAGGTTCGCAACCAAGCCTAACGAGCGAGCGAAAGCAGAAGCTCCTTGGATGCGGCCTATCAGTGACGGCCAAGTTGTCCAGAAATCGTACTGCGACCGAACGAGTTAGCTCCTACAGTGTCGGAACGGATCCTCGCAAATTCTCCGACAATCGATCGATTTATTATTTTATAAATTCAAATTATAGATTTAGAGTTTTGATAATCGTATCTAGAGTCGCGTTCACTAATTAATTTATTTTCCTTTGTATTTTATTTTAGGACGAATTATTTTGTAATTAATAATCTGAATTTTCTTTCATTGTATTTCATTTTAGCACAAACGCGATTGTTATTTTCCTTTGTATTTTCTAATCCAGGGCGTACTCACTGTACTCAATTAATATAATTATTTTCTTTTTTTCTGTATTTCAAAACAGGGCGCAACATTTGTACTGTAACGTAATGACACCTGTGCCTCCCCGTTACAATCGCTGCGCTTCTCCCACCTCACATTCCCACCTAAAGATAACCCTTAACCCTTCCCTCACCTTACCCCTTTCCCCCTGCCCGCCGGTATCGGGCCGATGGAGGCGGCGGAAAGAACCCCCAAGAAGCGGACAACTCTAGAAGGAGCTACGAGGCCGGCGATAGACCTTCAACCCTTCCAGAAGAAAGGAGCAACGCGGGATTTCGGAAAACTAGACGAAGCTGCCCAGAAGTTTGCAAACGCCCACCCGGAGCCATCTGTCGCCGAGCCCGAACACCTCAGCCCACCCGACACCGCAGGATGTCTGTCAGCCCCATCGACCCCCATCACCGGCAGATCGACAATCGATAATCGATCTATCCCGTTGCCGGAAGAGACCCCCTTCCTAGTCCCATCCCCTCCCCAAAACCATCCCGCGACGGACTCGTCGTCGCAGCAGCGACGGCGAACCATTATTGAGCCCTAGGCTATCATAGCAAGCGAGTAGGAATAGCAATTTGGGAGATTTATAGAGAGTATTGAGTAGTGATCGAGGCGAATTGTGTTTGAGTGCGAGAGAGTGCAACGAGTTTGGTGAGCCCCCTTAATTACCATAATTGTAAAAGGAGTGAGTTCGAGGCAACGGCAATCTTCGCCCGCGTACATTCGCGTCCGCGTATCGTTTGATTCTTCAATGATTTCTGTGTTTTGCGAATTCCCTTCGTCCAACCCCCATCAGTCCCGTCTACGAATCCTCCTACGCGTAACGTATACGAGCTTTCCTGAGAACCCTTCCTCCTGCACTGAGATCTCTTCCAGCCCTGGACAATCCTCCTAACGTACTCCCCCGCAAATTATTGTAAGGACGTAAGTGCCACGAAGCCCATCCCCTGTAAGCACCCGCAATTAATCCTTTCCCTTTTTGATTTCGATTGCCACAGCGAGTGGCTGGCGCAAAACGCGATTATAGATCTTGTACCGCAGAGTGAACCCCCGAAAGGGTCACAGTACATTGATTACATTAACTCATTATATTATTTAATTATATTTTATATTACTTACCTTTTTGTATAATTCAAATAATTACTTACCTTTTTTATATATATATTATAAACAAAAACATTTCTTGAATAAAGAACACTCTTATTTATTTTCGAGAAAGGAATTAATGTTGGATTTTACTCCTTTACCGCGTGCCACCCAAACCTATAATCCCTTCATATTAAATATACGAGACGCCTTCTTGCAAGGGAACCGCTCTCCCTACGCGTCAGGTGCAGTAGCGTACTCGTGATTATAATTCCGGGACGTTACACTTCGTCCTCTTTTCACTCGCTGTCCTTATTTATTATTTACGTTCGAGGCAGTCGAAAAATTTCAAACAATGTAAGAACTACACGATATTCGTGAATCCATACGACGCAAATATGTGCGATCCTGGAATGTGCCACACCAATTCTGTTACTCTCTTCCTTTAGAAGTCACAGATATTTGTTCAGTATTTATCGAAATGTCACACAGTGAATATCGGTAAGTACCAAATTACAAGTACCAATAATTCATATTTTAAAAAAATATATTAATTTAGTCCTCATTGGTTGTTGGTTTGGTTGGGTACAATTCTGAAAATCACTTGCCCCGATTTTCTTTTTTTAAAACAGTATTCTTGTGTGCTTTCTCTACGCTGATTAGGAATATCATAGTGAATAAAAATTGCCGACTATTTGACTATTGTAAGGCGGCCGGCAGCGCTTTGGCGAAATAATAACAAATTCTTTACCAAATAATTTATAAGCGATGATGATATGGTAAAGATACACGATATAATGAAATTCCTATTATTTTTCAAAGAAAAAATTATATGTTTAATTTTGCGCCGCCTCCGAAAAGGTTGAAATATATTTAGTATCCTATTTAACGATTAAGTAGATTGTATTAACAGCTGTGGAATACAGATATAAATGAAAAAGAAATTATTTTATACTTTTTAGTGCATTTCGAAGACGGATTTTTCTTTTTGTTAAAATTTAGTTTATATCTAATGTAGATATAGTAATAATGATATTCTTATCAAATGTACATTGATCTGTGGGAAGGGATCAGTATATTACATTATATCTAATGTAGATATGGTAATAATGATATGGTTATTAAATATTTATTACATATCTAATGGAGATGTAGTATGAATGATATTGTTATTATATGTACATTTCTCTGTGGGAAGGAATCAGTATATCATATTATATCCACTGAAGATGTATTTTGAATGATATTGTTATTATATGTACATTCCTCTGTGGGAAGGAATGAGTATATTACATTATACCCAATGTAGCTTTAGTATGAATGATGTTGTTATTAAATGTACATTGATCTGTGGAAATAGATCAGTATATTACATTGTACCTAATGAAGATATAGTATGAATGATATTGTTATTTAATGTTCATTGATCTGTGGGAATGGATCAGTATATTACATTGTAATTAATGAAGATGTAGTATGAAGGATATTGTTACTATATATACATTTCCCTGTGGGAAGGAATCAGTATATTACATTATATCCAATGTAGATATAGTATGAATGATATTGTTATGAAATGTACACTGATCTGTGGGAAGGAATCAGTATGTCACATTAGATCCAATATAGATATATTAATAACGATATTGTTATTAAATGTACATCGGTATGTGGGAAGGATCACATCTACCATTTCTACAACCTCTAATTGATTTCAGCGGTTCTGATCACCTTAATTGAATGAAACGGAACAACAATACACTTGTCTCATAACTAAGGTCAAATAGTTATTTGTAACATTTGACAAGGTATAGGTTAGAGAGAAAAATATTTGGAAATTGAATGCAGTTACATTCTTACAAGACATATCTGGAAGTATGTTTAAGGTAACAAAATATTACACCTTATTATCTTCAGTACATTCTTTATTCCAAATTAATGTTGTTGAGTACAATGTATCAATATAAAATAATATGATTTCTTTTTTTTATTTTCAGCATTCATTCAGACATTGATGAGGAAATTACGAGCAAAAAATTATGGGGTATAAAAGTTGAATACATCCATTAAAGAAATTCAGCAGTGTGGAATGAAATACTAGGACAAATAACATAAACGTACTCTGAAAATAGATGCAATATCTTGCTTTCAGCGTAGCAAGTTAATTTAGAAACGAATGGGTATGTTTCATTTAAATTGTTTTCAAATTTTGCATCATTAGCGTAGCCTCCAATTCAAACGTTTATTAATTATACCACTTCAAACATTTTTATTTGTTGTTTAGAATCCTTAGAATTTCCTTTTTTACATTACAACAGGCGATAAGAGATTAGGTTCCGTATTCATTCTAAACAGCGACTAAAAATGTTCTACCAGTTCAGTTTTTTTATTGTGCTATACCAACGGGGTGCCAAGCCGTTCGTTCTCGACCTACGTCAGGCCCGGTTTTCGTACCCGACACTGTAGTCCCTGGGACTGCGCTCTATACGCGCTCGTATTGGTCGGTGCTTTTTGTTATTAACTCGAAAACCAAGCCTTAACCAACAATTTCGCAAAGGAAAAAGTTGTTTAGAATCCCCTTAGCAATCATCCCTCCACGGCTGTCGAGGTAGTCGCCTGACACCCTGTAATTCTTACTAAATATGAAAGGTTTCATCGCGAACGATACATTCCTTGCAGAGTAACATGAAGATATAAATTTTTTGCTATAACAGTAGTTATTAACAAATTCAATAAATTTTTGCAAGTAAGATCATCGCGGATATACCTCTGTTACGAGCCGGAGGGGGCGGCTGCATAGCCGTGGCTTAAATTTCGGTATATGGTATTTGTGAATGGCTTGACCAGTGTTGTTATTAACACCGGGAGCCTAAGGAAGTAGACGTGGAGACGAACCTACGTATGGCTAACGTAGGGAGCTCCAGGAGGTTGGCTATAGTGGACGAACCTAAGTATGGCTAATGTAGGGAACCACAGGAAAGGTGACGAGTGGAGGACGAACCTACGTATGGCTAACGTAGGGAGTCTCAGGAGTGTGATATGCGGACGAACCTACGTATGGCTAACGTAGGGAGCCGCAGGAAATGTTAGTATTAGGTCTCGTAACTTGATTGATGTACCTCGAGCGGTAAAGGTACACCTTAGTGGGTTTGTGGATAGTAAATATAATTGAACAATAGTATGTAAGTTAAAATAATGTGAGTTTATTCTCTATTCCGGGACCTTACAATTGTTATGTGTAATTGTCGCGGTGTTCAATGAATTAAACTCTAGGTTGCAAGTTTTAAATGAGTTGAATAAATAGAAATTAGTTTCGATTCCGCAAGGCAAGAATCTAATCCTTCTCGGTTTTCACGAACGCGAACAAACGGGGGCGGACTACAACGATTAGAATAATGCTTAACAGCAGACAACGTACTGTATAGTTACTGTGAGTGCTTGAGAAGGACTTGAATACCCGATCTCGCAGAGATTTCCTCGTTACAGAGATTATCCGTAAAAGAACATACTGACGTGTATCGAACTGATTCTAGATTTCAACTAGACCCGAGGTGCCCTTGTCGCCACCCTTTTTATACTCAAAAATTAGAGTAAAAGAGTGATGGGGACTGACTCTACGTGACCCGTACGACCGCGCCCTTGCTTTGCGTTGGTCTCGAATTTTCTAGAAGACGGTTGGTTTCGGGTGCACACATCCGATTCCATATAAGGAAATTTTTTGAGAAGGGTTTGTAACACCATATAAGGAAATTTCCGAGAAGGATACGTAACACCTCCGACTAAATGTGAAAGGTTTCATCACAATCGGTACATTCCCTGCAGCATAAACGCTAGCAGATAAAAATGAAGTATTACGTTTTTTGCGATATAAGTCGTTAGGAATGAAAAAATACCAACATTTTTTTGCGAGACCAATCGGGAAATATACTCTACAAGATGCAAAATTTTTGATCCGATTGGTCCATCCGTCTCGCGGTAATCGGTGAAAAATATACATCAAGCATTAAGTTTTTTGCAAAAAAATCGTTAGGAATGAAGAAATGGAAAATGTCTCATTGACCGGACCAAGTGGGAGAAATACTCTACATGATGCAAAATGTTTCGTTCCGCTTGCTCCATCCATCTCGGAGTAATCGGCGAACATACATTTAGAAAAAATGCAAAATATTTTTTTTATGGGATCAATGGGGAGTGACACTCTACAGGACGCAAAAAGTTTCGTTCCGATTGGTCCATCCGTCTCGGCGTAATCGGTGAACATACATAAAAAAAGACAAAAAAAAAAAAATACACACATCGAACTGAGTATCCACCTCCTTTTCGAAGTCTGATAAAAAATGGAATATACTGGTCCGTTCCCACAGATCAATGTACATATAATAACAATATCGTTATTCCTATATCTACATTAGATATAATGGAATATACTGATTTATTCCCACAGTACATTTAATAACAATATCATAATTACTATATGTACATTACATATAATGTGATATACTGATTATCTCCCGCAGATCAATATGCATTTAATAACAATATCGTTATTACTATATCTACATTAGATATAATGTAATATACTGATTCCTTCCCACAGATGAATGTACATTTAATAACAATATCATTATTACTATATCTACATTGGATCTAATGTGATATAATGATTCCTTCCCACAGATCAATGTACATTTGATAACAATATCTGTTTGAGAATCGGCTCAGCCATGATGGCGCTCCCGGTCGATCGATTTATCGATCGGGAGTCGCCCATCTAGGTCAACGCGTGAGCAGGGGTCTTCTCGCCGGTTCGCGCGCTTCGACGCCATTATCGATCATCGAGCGATACAGATCACCACGTGCGATTCAAAAAGTGCTCAAGTGCGATTCTTCACTGTTCAACAAGGCCAAATCATGGCCAGCAACTGTGCACGCGGCCAGGATCACTAGGTATTGTTCATTTACAAGATAAATTCTGTGTACACGCGAGCCGCCAACCACGTGTTGATCAAGCACACGTTCACGGGCACCATCAAATAGCGGGCTGAATTTGTAGAATTAACGGGGCTTATTGTTCATGACTACCGATCAAAACCAATTGTCAAATTCGACGGATCACGGTAACAGATCAACTTTCTAATCTCTGTATTTGCGTGTTCAACGAACAAGCGTTAGATCAGCGTGTTCAACCTTGGTTTTATCCATCGACTCAAATAAATCAATTTGTAAAAGCCCATCCAGCAAGTGCAAAATTATTTCCGGCGCAATCCTTCCGGGATCTCCATCAATCCCGAACATTTGGTCCTTCGAGCCGGATTGCTATCTGGTTGGACTCGGTTTTTTGCAAAATTGCTCATTGATCATTGTGCGTCTCAAGTCTTTGTCTCGTGTTCGTAACGGTTTTCGGTGGTCGGCCATCTTAGCATCTCTCTTCCATTTGAATTTCACTTACACGCTCGCCATAACAGGTGGCGCTCAGAACGACGAATCATCCATCGGTAAAGAGGAACAACTCTCCACACGTTACCGATCATGGCTCACCCATCAAATCAACGGAGAAATGGAGCGAGATGCAAGACAGCTCGCAAGAATCCCTGGAGGTGCCTGGGAAAACGAGGTTCGCTCGCACCTCTCCCGTGCCCAGTGTTACGGAGCCAGTGAGGCGCTCACCGTCACCACACGAGCACGCAACTCGCTCAACTGCGACAGATCAGCTGCCGATCGAGTTCCAGCTGAAGGTGAGAACGCAGCGATGCCGACTCGGCAATGCTCAAGGCATTCTCTACTTGCTCAAGGACGATTCAGAGCGTCTTTCCAAGGAGAAGTTGGACGACGCCAAGGCCCAGATCGACGAGGCCATAAAAGTGTTCAACAAGGAACATGCACACTTCGAGGTAGTGTGGCCAACGTCGCAGGCAAATCACCCCTACTTCACCGATGACTGCCACTACCAGATGCAGCAGTTCGGTATAGTAGCGAAGAAGATCATTGCGAAAAGATCAGTGGAGCTGCCTGGTCAGACGATCGCTCAACCAGGGAAGGTGACCTACACAAAATCGAAGCTGCTTGACATCGAGTTGCCACGATTTACGGGCAACTACACGGAGTGGCCATCCTTCCTTGAATTATTCAACTCCGTGGTGTGCGGCAAGCCAGAGCTCGAGCAGGTTGAGAAATTCTATTATCTCAAGGGATTTTTTTTTTTTTTTTTTTTTTGTCAGAGAGGAAATACATTTATGTACGCAGACCACCTCCTGGTTAGGGAGTAGGCCCGGGCAGTGTGGGACTCACGAGGTGCTTACCAACCGAATTCTGAAAAATGCGAATTCTGGTTTGGATCGTTACAGCATCCCACAATACCCACTAAAACGTCTCTCCGCACCGGCCACCGACACCTCCCGCGAACCCATGGGCCCATATTGGAGTATGTCGGTGTAAGCCACGACGATGCGTCCCTCTCGCTCCAACGGTCTCGGATGGCCTAAAGGCGTTCAGCCATCCGCGAAGGTTGTGCATCCACATCGCCGCACCTCCGCTTTAACGGTAGGCTATTTTCAGAAACCGACGGCGCTTCGTCTCATTTAGCCACATACCGATCTTGAATGACCCGGAGATCATCCCCGAGAGGTTGTGCATCCACGCCGCCGGACCTCAGAGAGGACTTTTATCCGACTTGTTTGGTCAAGCTTTTTCTTCGAGAAAAGCCGTCCACAGGGACGGTGCGGGAAGCACATACGCGCGAGGATAGATGCGTTTGAGACGCAAATTAGACTCGCCAAGCAGGGCGATTGAGGGCTATGAATTAAAATTGAAGATTAGGGGTCGAGAATTAGGTCCGAAAATTCAAGCTTCGGCTTTGGCGTCTGACAATTTGCATGGTAAGTCTCGGAATTGGATTGAGATTCGGTCCAAAGATCAAGTTGCAATTAAAGTTGTTGTATTAAATTAGAATTACTTTCTTGAATTAAATAGGATTGCATTTAATTCCTTTGTTTGTCGGGGTTAGCAAAAGGTGAGGCGTCCGTAGGCCATATTGAGGGTCGAAGCATTTACAATTCTAAATTGAGAATTGGAAGACCGTAATTTAGTACTTGATTATCGGGGTCGAGCTTCCAAATTTAAGAATTAATGAATTAACTAACAATTAAATGTGAGAAACGAATTAGAGGTCCGGATTGAGCAAAGTCTCCCTTCGCGGGATCGTGATCGGGGTTCTGTGGCGGGCCGATTCCTGAGAAAGGGTGTCAGAAGGGGTATAAGCAGGCAGGAAGACAATTTGTCTATCGCCAGGGGGGCACCCGCGCGGAACCCCCTTAGTCGCCTCTTACGACAAGCCGAGGACGCTGGAGATGTATTCTACTGTCTCCATCTCCAGGGAGGGTTGGGTTAGTGTTAGTCAGGGGGAAAAAAAGGGCAGACAAACACCTAAATAATTAAATTAAATAAATAGATTAATTAAACTAAACTGATTCCAAGCTGATGTCTTCCGTGCCGGATGTCTGTCGAGTTGACTGATTAAGGCGCCCCGTCTTGATTCCATCGCGTGGTGCTTCATAGCAGCGTCCGCTCGTGCATTCTGGCTGCCTCTTTCCCGCATCTTCTGTCCATAAATAGAATGAAATAGAATAAAATAGTATAGAATGAGATAAAACAGATAGATAGCAGACACTAAATAGTTAAATTAAATGAATAGATAAATAGATTAATTAAACTAGTTAAACTCATTCCAAGCTAGCTAGCTAGGTGTCTTCCGCGCCAGATGTCGGTCGGGTTGGCTGATTGAGGAGCTCCGTCCTGGTTCCATCGCGGGCCCGCGATATCGCGTGGTGCTTGATAGTAGCGTCCGCTCGTTCATTCTGGCTATCTCTTTCCCGCATCTTCTGTCCCTGTCCCACTCCCTCCAGTCCTGCCGGTGCCTACCTGCCTGCCTGTTGCTACCCTGTCCCTCCATGACAGCGGCCGACTTAGGGGTGGCATCCCCTCTTTTTTCTTTTTCCTACTTTCTTCTTTCTTCACTTTTCCTCTCTCTCATCGTCTTCATCTTCCTTCTGAGTTCTAGCCGTTCGTTCCCTGGCCATCTTGCCCTCGTCCTTTTTCCCGTTCTAGGTCGCTGAGTTTGTAGCTGAGGCCGCCATTTTGAATATGAGGAAGGCGTCCCTTTCGCTGCCGCGGAACCAACACCTGCCCGATTCATAAATTGCAACCCTATCTCTGTCCTACTTGCATTAAACGCAAGTCTAATTAATCTACTCTATTTCTTGGGCCCCGGCACCGTCCATTACGTAATAATAAACTATCGGAAGCCGTAGATATAGACGCACAACACACAGAGGCACTGCAAAACGCGCCGATAGCTATCACCGATTAATTACGCGAAACAACCCGATGCCTGCACTTAATCTGTACACGTGACAGTTATTAACCGTGAAATCGCAACAATTCCGACAAAAAACGCATGCAAAACACGAAAAAACGAATACATTTGCGGAGCGCACACGCAGCACGTCTGTTCACTTCAAAAGCCCGCTCGAGTCCCCTCTCAAGGGCTGCCTGCGAGGAGAACCAGCTCAAATTGTTTCAAGCTTACCGCTCATCGGCGCATCACTCTCCGCTGCCATCGAGCTGCTCAAGCTTGTCTCGTTGCCGATGGACCAAGACCAGGCTAAGGTGCTCAGCGAACTGATGTCCACGGCCCTGGAAACCCGGCATGCAGTTCAAAATCTGATCGAGCCAGGAAAGCTCGACGATTGCATGCTTGTTCATCAAATGTGCCGGAAGATGGACTGCACTACGAAGGAGCGATGGGAGTCAACGCTTGGAGTCACAACGGAGTACCCATCGTTTGAAAAGCTCATGGAGTTCATTACCGCCAAGGTTAGGACGCTGGAGCATTTGGCGCACGACAAGGCGAGAGCGGCGCCTGTGAAGCGCACCCCGATCAAGCCCTCTCAACCAAGAGTGCAGCAACCAGCTCCAAGCAGACCGGTTCACTCAGCTGTCGCATCAAGGCCAGTTCAACGATTGATAACGCTCGAAAAATACAATTTCGAGCGTCCATCGCCGTTCGAGCAATGCGATTGCTGCGGGCTGCAACACTACATTGTAGAGTGCAAAGCATTTAGAGGAATGTCGCCTGACAAGCGCGTTCCGTGCATAGACGCACAACGTCTGCTGTTGGCGAAATTCCCCAAATTGTCTCAGCCCACGAAGTTGGCAACGAAAGTATTTCGTCGGTGCGTCGTTACCGATAGCGGCAGCACCTCTCGGGCCCACTTTGTCCACGCGGTCCCCTCTCCACGCGTTTGCCGGCACGATCGACGCCATCATCGATCGTGTTCTTCTTGTTCGTACGCTCAACGTAAGAGCACGTGCTTGCGACCACGCGAGTTTATCGACAAGACCGCCATATTGAACACGCTATTCTGTATTTTCTCAGTCCACGCGCGTTTCATATGTATTACGCTCCTCAGTTTATGTAAATAGTGTAAATAAATTTTGCTAATAATTACTCAAGGTGCGTGTTTCACTCTCCGTCCTCGCAGACCACGCTTTCGGTTACATCTGTGCTTGAACTGCTTGAGCAGACACAACGTCCGCACATGTAAATCAACTCAGACGTGTAAGCAGTGCCGGCTTCGGCATGGTGGACTGTTTTCGATGCTTCCGCCACCGCCGAAGCCCAAAGCTCTACCAACCAACACTCTAGCTCCAGCTGGTTCCTCACAGACAGCCTCCTCATCCGTTAAAACCACCGAGTAGGAACTCGGTGCAGCCGTCAAGCCGCCAAATCACAGAAAGCTCCTCGCAACCGCTCAAGCTCTCCTCACCACTCCAACGTCAGATCACACCATCCGCATCTTAATAGATCCAGGTTCCGAAATCTCGTTCATCTTCGAAGGACTCACTCGCCTGCTCAACCTCCGGAGACACCGATCATCCATCACAATTATTGGTGTTGGTGGAACAAAATCAACTGAAACCAAGGGTGTGGTCAATGTTACACTCCAGTCGAAGTACTCACAACAGACTGTCTGCATCCAAGCTCACATGCTCACAGTCGTATCGACAATCCTGCCATCGTTCTCGCTGAGAGCTCCAGACTGGCCTCACATTAAGAACTTGAGGTTGGCGGACAATGATTTCTTGACACCACGACCAGTCGACGTAATCATTGGAGCAGATTTTTACAGAAGGATCATCAAGCCAAATATCATCAAGGGCTCACCAACAGCACCAATTGCTCAACTTTCCATTTTTAGATGGCTCGTCATCGGCCCAGTCAACGAATCATATACAAATACTAATTATGCACATTTTGCAGTTGCTCACAACGATCAGAGCAATCTGCAAGAGCTGCTCACCAAATTCTGGGTCCAAGAGAAGTCACCAATGGACACTCCAAGCACGCTCACACCGGAGGAAGAAGAATGCGAAGCACATTTCTGTGCAACTCACTCTCGTGACAACACAGGAAGGTACATCGTTCGCATTCCACTCAAGGCACCAGCATCTTCTGGGCAATTCACACAAGATTGCTCACCGATGTCTACAAAGCACACTGCGATGATCCGCCAAGGATTCAACATACAACCAGCTCTACGTCGAGTTCATGAAAGAATATGAAGAATCAGGACACATGGTAAAGGCTCCAGATCATCAACGGATCACATTAAGAGAGGCTGAGAACGTTGGGCCTGATGGGGAGATGACCTTGGCACATTATGCTTCGGCATCAGGAGGGTTGAGGGTCTCTTCTGACGGTTCAACACCTCAGTCCTCTGCTCATCATCAACCATATTATTTGCCTCACCATGGTGTTCTACGCCTCGACAGCATAACAGCGAAGCTCAGGGTTGTATACAACGGATCGAAAGCTACAACATCAGACAGATCAGTCAACGATTTAATGCATACTGGTGCTAATTTGCTCTTAAATGTTACAGATGTTCTAATTTGACTTCGCCATTATCACCACATTTCTGCCACAGATATCACAAAAATGTATCGCCAAGTAGCAGTTCACAAGGATGATTGGGATCTCCAGCGAATTCTTTGAATCGCTGAAGACCGCAATGTCATCCCTTACCAGCTCACAACTGTCACGTATGGCACAAAAGCGGCTCCCTTCCTGGCGACACGAGCACTCATGCAGTTTGTTCACGATGAGGATCATCGATTCCCTCTGGCAGCGCCTTCGCTCACACATGGCAGATATGTGGACGATATCTTTGGAGGGGCAGACTCAATCTCGGAATTTGTGGAGGTCGCTCAACAGCTGATTGCATTGTGCAACGCGGGCGGATTTCCACTCGCAAAATGGCATGCGACTCACCCAGACTTACTGAGGGCTGTTTCGTCATCCGCACAATCGTCAGCTCCCATATCATTTGACGACTGCACTACCAAATTACTCGGAATTCAATGGATGCCTCAAACCGACACATTTGGCTTCTCATCAACGATCACAGATCAACCAAGTAAGTGTTCAAAAGGCCTCGTATTATCCGAAGTCGCTCGGATATTTGATCCATTACGTTTTGTCTCACCGGTAATAGTACGAGCTAAAATGCTATTACAAGAGCTCTGGCTACACAAAATCAATTGGGACGATCCATTACCGTCTCAAATCATTTCACGATGGTTCATCATCAGAGAAGATCTCAACAGCTTGGCCAAGCTATCGATTCCAAGATGGTTCAACACATGGAGCAATTCAACTGTGGAAATTCGTGGATTCTCTGATGCTTATCAACTTGCCATGGCAGCAGTGATTTACATCACTGTCCGCTTGCCGTCTAACAACTCAACGACGTCAATTGTCTGTTCCAAGACAAAAGTTGCACCACTGAAGAGGCTCACCATACCCAGATTGGAGTTATCAGCTGCACTCCTACTGGCAAAGCACGCCAAATATGTTGAATCAACGCTCAAGGTGACGATCAACGCAACGCACCTGTGGTCGGATTCTCAAGTCTGACTCATATGGATCAAATCGCAAGCATCTCGTTGGAAGGATTATGTTCGGAACAGAGTCATTCCGATCCAAGAACTCACTCCACATGCGCATTGGAGGCATGTTCCAGGTACTTCTAATCCAGCCGACTGTGTTTCCCGAGGCATTTCGACAAATCAACTTCAACGACTAGACCTCTGGTGGAAAGGTTCTCCATGGATGACTTAGATCAAGATCATTGGCCAGAGCAAAAGGAATTCTCAACTCTAACCAGCGAGCTGGACGTGAGACCCAATGTCTCACTCTTTGCTTCAGCTCAAAAGCTAAGTTATCATTAGGATCTCATTTACAAATATTCATCTCTTATTGAGCTGTATAGACTGACTGCACTTTGTTTCAGGTTCGCCTCACGGCTTAAGAGAAAGCTCGAAGCTCCACCCGTGATAATCGTTCCTTCCTGCGACATGGAGAAGGCGCAGCTCTTTTGGATTCAAGCGACTCAGCACTTGTACTTCGCCAGCGAAATCAAGATACTCAACTCAGGCTCAACCCTGCCTGCAACTCACCCCTTCAGTCGCCTCGCCGCCTTCATCGATTCGCAGGGAACAATACGAATAGGAGGAAGAGTCACCAATACATCGCTCAGCAGGGATCAAAAACATCCAGCGATCCTCCCACGGACGCTCACCTTTCGAAGATCATCATTGAAGACGCTCACAAGCGAACATTCCACGGAGGAACGCAGCTCACGCTCGCATATATTCGACAACGGTATTGGATCATCGGTGGAAGAGCTCCTGTAAAATCTTGTATATCTTCGTATATCTTGAAATGTGTCGTGTGTGCTCGTCAGAGGGGGATTCCTGTTCGTCAGATGATGGGTCAACTACCTCTCTCTCGAGTCACACCATCACGACCATTTGCTCACACCGGTGTCGATTATGCAAGACCGATCACAACGAAGAATTCAAAGGGAAGAGGCTCGAAAACGATCAAAGGATGGATCTGCGTGTTCGTATGTTTCTCCTCATCGGTAGTTCACCTCGAGGTTGTCAGCGATTACTCAACCGAGGGATTTCTGGCAGCCTACAGAAGATTTTCGTCACGAAGAGGGATCGCTCACAAATTGTGTTCGGACTGTGTGACAAATTTCATTGGAGCCCAGGCAGAGCTCAACCGCCTGTTCACGTCAAGTTCAAAGGAGCACCAACAAATCGCATCGATTTTGTAAGCAGACAACACTCAATGGATGTTCCACCCACCAGCTGCTCCTCACATGGGAGGAAAATGGGAAACGGTGGTAAAATCGATCAAGTCCCATCTAAGTATCATCTGAGGGCCAGGATGCCCTCACCGGGGTCGCAACTGTGAAGACTGCAACCACCACTCTCGTTCGACCGATCACCAAGCTTATCATTCTGCCTGTTCACCATCAAGCTGAGCTCACCCCTGCAGAATCGTCATCAACGAGTTGCTGATGGTGGGCGAAAATGTTTGAGAATCCGCTCAGCCATGATGCCCTCACGGTCGAAAGATTTATCGATCGGGAGTCACCCATCTAGGTCAACGCGCGAGCAGGGGTCTTCTCTACACTTCACGCGCTTCGAAGCCATTATCGATCATCGATTCAAGAGTAAATCACGTGTTCACCTTTTTCTTGCGATCAAAAGTGGTCAAGTGTAATTCATCAAGCGAAAATCAGATCACCGGCTCGACAAACAGCTCAGAATCCTCAACGATCGTGCAAGGTACAGGATTCACAGGTATTGTTCAGTTACAAGATAATTCACTGTACACGCGAGCCGCAAACCACGTGTTGATCAAGCACACGTTTACGGGCACCATCAAACAGCGGGCCGAATTTATAGCATTAACGGGGCTTATTGTTCACGACTACCGATCAAAACCAATTGTCAAATTCGACGGATCACGGTAACAGATCAATGTACATTTGGTAGCAATATCATTATTACTATATCTGCATTGCATATAATGTAATATAATGATTCCTTCCCACAGATAAATGTACATTTAATAACGATATTATTATTATATCTACATTGCATCTAATGTAATATACTGACTCCTTCCCACAGACCAATGTACATATAATAACAATATCATTATTACTACTTCTACTTTAGATCTAATGTAATATACTGATTCCTTCCCACAGATCAATGTACATTTGATTACTATATCATTATTACTATATCTACATTACATATAATGATATATGCTGATTCCTTCGCACATATCAATGTACATTTAATAACAATATCACTATTACTATATTTACATGTAATGCCCGCGTAATTCACAGGTAGTTAAGGAAGAGAGGGAAACGGTAGAAGTGGGGCAGGTATGTGTGAGAAAAGGGCCTAGCCTTACTTCTCTCCCGATATTCCTACTGGGCACAAGTAAAAGGAATCATTATTCTGTTAATAGTGTCGGGTTTGTTAACGATCATTGCAGTGCCGCCAAGAATCAATACTACGATTAATCACCAGATCAAGATAAGTATTTCTCAGCATTCTAAGTATAAAGGATCAGAAGTCCTTGCGGGCATATATGTCACTCCATAACCATTTGTTCATTTTCAATATCTCGTTTAAATTATTTGACGATTCCCGATTGACCAGCCGGCCAGGTTTGTTGGCCGTTGATCCGGATAACTTGAGATTTTGTGTAATACGAGTTGTTCGATCAACTATTTATATAAAGAACTTCTCAATAATACTATGTGGACTAGCCGGTCAGGTTTGTTTACCGTTGATTTGGTTATTTCGTATCACTGGTATGTATTATTGACTTCAGTCATAGATTCCGAAAAGTAAAGGAGTCAGTAAAGTTATCCTCTATAAGAAATTACTATATTCAATTCAGTTGGCAAAGTTTCCCATCACGATTCCTCATCGGAAGAACGTTTTATTACATACATTGGATATAATGTAATATACTGATCTCTTCCCGAGATGATGCGGCAAGGAGGGACTGGAGGGATTAAATTAGGGGAAAGGAAAATATACACGCTAGCATACGCAGACGATGTAGTACCCCTGGCAGAGGAAGAAGAGGACATGGCGGCGATGGTAAGAAAACTGGAAAGATATTTAGATAAAAAGAAATTGTAGTTAAATAGAGAAAAATCAAAGGTAATGACATTCATGAAAGGGGGTGGAAGATAGAAGAAGAGGGACTGGGTATGGAAAGGAAAGAAAATGGAAGAGGTGAAGTGCTTCAAATACCTTGGATACGTGTTCAGAAGAGATGGAAGAAGCGAACTACACATCAAAGACAGTATGAGCAGAGCGAGCGCGGCGATGAGACAAGTATGGGGATCGGAAAAAGAAGATTCGGAAAGGAGTGGAAGAGGAGACTATGGTTATGGGACAGGCTAATATGGCCGATAATGGCGTATGGGGCCGAAGTCTGGGGTTGGAAGGAAAGGAGAGAATTCGAAGGGACACAGGAGAGATTTTTAAGATGGACACTAGGGGTGGACTGGTGCACACCGGGATATATGCTGAGAGAAGAGCTGCAAAGGTCAAAATTGAGACTCAAAGCAGGAAGGCGAGCATGGGGATTCGAAAGGAGGATGTGGGGGGGAGGGAGGGGGAGGAGGGGAACTAGCAAGGAATTGCTGGGAGGAAATAGTCAGAGAAGAACAAAGAGGGATGACAAAAAGCAAGTGGGAGGAGGAGAGGAAAAAATATTTCGAGGAAAGGGGAATGAACCCAGCAACCCTGGAAATAAAAAGGAGGGAAGGGGAAATGGGCTTTGAGGAGATAGAAGAGGCAGATTTACAGCTGCAAGAAAGCGAGAGATGGACCAAGATAAATTCATCAAGATACAACAAATGGTATAAAGAGATCAAGAACGCTGGAGTTCTTAAGTACCTGGAAAAAGGCTGGAAAGAAGAAAGGTGGAAAAGAGTAGCAAGATTTAGGATGGGAAACGAAATAAATGAGGCGAATACTGGGAAAGTGAAGAAAAAAGGAAATGCAGAAGTTGTGAGTGGGAGCAGGAATCGTGGGAGCATGTATGGGAAGGGTGCGGGGCAAACAAGGAAAGACAGGAAGGATGGCAAGAAAAAGTCAAGGAGCTTCTGGGGGAGGATGGCGAAGGAGAGCAATGGATGAAAGAGGTTGAGAAAGGTAGGTCAATGGATGAAATTGGCAAGATGGAAGAAAGGAAAGAGTGTGACATTACCGACAGAGAGAACCAGTAATAGTAGCGAGAAAAGACAGAATTTACAGTTGGCAGTACAGTGAACAAATCGGAAATCAGGTGGCAACACTGGCGAGGCACGTGGTGAGAGATAAGGGAAGCATGCAACAAGTTGAAAGTAAAAGTGAATGGTAACAGTAAGAAAGGAAAGACAAGAACGAGAAAGAAGCAAAGCAGAGGCAAAGCAGAGGCAGAAATTAAAAAGAAAAGAAAGCCTAAAGAGGAATAGGGAAGGAAAGAAAAGTCTAAGAGAAGAAAGAAAAAGGGAAACACATGTGCAAATATAGGGGCATTTGCACAGCCGCACATTTCACAAATATTAAATCAGACTTCTCCCGGTTATAATAAGAATTAGTCAAAATAATTGACAGTAATCACACAAAGAAATACATTCTTGTTTACAGTCAGGGCTCAAAGGATGGAAAATTGAAGAAAGGAAAGCAGCCAGACGATGGAAAGTACTTGGAAGGACGAAGTACTGAAGGAGCTGAGAAAAATAGGTGAGAGCGTTGACGAAATAAAGAAGGAACTAAAAAGAGGAAGGGCAGGCAAAGATCCGAACGGACAAAGCATAGAAGAAGCAAAAAACAGGGACAAAGGATAAAGTGCAGAAGACGCAAAGGATGAAGTTATAGGAAACGAGAGAAAAGAAGAAAGGGGCAAAAGTGGAAATAAGGGTATTATAATGAGGAGAGACAATAAAGAGCAGGAGGAAGAGAAAGAAAAAGGAGACAATGAAGAAGAGTCACCGATGAAAAAAAGGAAAAATGCGGTACCGATTAAGGAGAAAGGAAAAGAAAAGACTGAGGAAGGAACGGATAAAAGAAGAAGAGCATATGTGGAGGACGAAGATGAGGAAAAAATAGAGAGAGGGACAGCCGGCCACAAGAAGCTTAGTTTGGAAGGGGGTAGGAGGAAATGACACTGAGGAAAGAAGCAGGAGAGTCAATATCATGATGCAAATAGAACTTGGCAAAAAGGTGGTGATGAGGAAAATAATTGAGTTAGTGGGAGAAAGAGGGAGAAAACTAATTCTAACTGAATTAGATGAGGAAGAGGACAGAAACGAAATACTAGGAAAGAAAAACGAAATATGGGAGAGATGGAGGACCACAGTAGAAGAAAACTTGTCCAGCGAAGAAAGGAAGATGAACTGGAGGATCAAAGAAAAAGCAAGAGAGGAAAGAATC